AAGAACTGTCGGGAGGACATAACTCTCGACTATTCGAAATTTGTCACAGGGATGTTCCTTGAGTACAAGATAATGCTTCTAAAATGAATACATAATTCAACGAAAAGGTACAAACCCTTCAAGTTTCAATACAATCACAGAGAACAAGTGTGTGAAGTTTCAATCCATTCCCTTCAGTAGCTATGGAGATACCAGCTTACACACATAAACTTAACCACGAATTTATGAATCAACAAGAGCACCGCTAGGCGGAGCATTATATGCCCGAAAGTGTTTTTTTTAGTAAGGATGAAGCATTCATTAGACATGGGAATTAGCTGTTCATCCTATAAAATTTTACAGATGAAGGTTGATTAATACTTAAGTCATTAATAATGACCTTAACCTTTGACCTTGTGACCCTAAAATCAATAGGGGTCTTCTACCTATATGGACAATTCATCCTATGAAGTTTTGAATATGTGGTCAAAAACTGGAACTTAAAGGTTATTGCTCCGGAAACTGTTTTCAAGTATCAAGGTAATAGTGACCTTGACCTTTACCTTTTGACCCCAAAATCCAATAGCGGTCTTCACTTAATATGGACAAAAAACTTATGAAAGTTTGAACATTGTGGTCAAATGGAACTTAAGTTATGCTCCGGAAACTGTTTTCTGTATCAAGGTAATAGTGACCTTGACCTTTGACCTTGGTGACCCCAAAAATCAATAGGGGTCTTCTACCTAATATGAGCAATCATCCTATGAAGTTTGAACATTGTGGGTCAAATGGACTTAAGTTATGCTCCGGAAAAAACTGTTTTCAGTATCAACGGTAATAGTGACCTTGGACCTTTGACCTTGTGACCCAAAATCAATAGGGGTCTTCGTATCCAACATGGACAATCATTCCTATGAAGTTTGAACATTGTGGGTCAAATGGAACTTAAGTTATGCTCCAGAAACTGTTTTCAGTTTTAAGGTAATAGTGAACCTTGACCTTTGACCTTGTGACCCCAAAATCAATAGGGGTCTCTACCCAATATGGACAATCATCCTATGAAGTTTGAACATTGTGGGCCAAATGGAACTTAAGTTATGCTCCGGAAACCAAATTGCTAAAACCGGACAAATTGCTAACGGACGGTAACTGTTTTCAGTATCAAGGTAATAGTGACCTTGACCTTTGACCTTTTGACCCCAAAATCAAAGGGGTCTTCTACCCAATATGGACAATCATCCTATGAAGTTTGATAATTGTGGGTCAAATGGTACTTAAGTTATGCTCCGGAAATTGTTTTCAGTTTTAAGGTAATAGTGACCTTGACATTTGACCTTTTGACCCCAAAATCAATAGGGGTCTTCTACCCAATATGGACAATCATCCTATGAAGTTTGAACATTGTGGGCCAGATGGAACTTAAGTTTATGCTCCGGAAACCAAATTGCTAACGGACGGAAACTGTTTTAGTTTTAAGGTAATAGTGACCTTGACCTTTGACCTTGTGACCCCAAAATCAATAGGGGTCTTCTACCCAATATGGACAATCATCCTATGAAGTTTGAACATTGTGGGCCAAATGGAACTTAAGTTTATGCTCCGGAAACCAAATTGCAAACGGACGGAAACTGTTTTCAGTATCAAGGTAATAGTGACCTTGACCTTTGACCTTGTGACCCCAAATTCAATAGGGGTCTTCTACCCAATATGGACAATCATCCTATGAAGTTTGATAATTGTGGGTCAAATGGAACTTAAGTTATGCTCCGGAAATTGTTTTTCAGTTTTAAGGTAATAGTGACCTTGACCTTTGACCTTTTTTAACCCCAAAATCAATAGGGGTCTTCTACCCAATATGGACAATCATCCTATGAAGTTTGAATATTGTGGGCCAGATGGAACTTAAGTTATGCTCCGGAAACCAAATTGCTAACGGACGGAAACTGTTTTCAGTATCAAGGTAATAGTGACCTTGACCTTTGACCTTTTGACCCCAAAATCAATAGGGGTCATCTACCTAATATGGACAATCATCCTATGAAGTTTGAACATTGGGGGCCAAATGGAACTTAAGTTATGCTCCGGAAACCAAATTGCTAACGGACAAATTGCTAACGGACGGACGGACGGACGCCAGGGGGTATAACATAATATGCCCTTTCGGGCATATAAAAAAGGGGAATAATTATGCGAAAAAGTAAATCAGAAATATGGGACTTGTGCCAATCATCTTAGATAATCACAGAGATCAAGTGTGTGAAGTTTCAATCCATTCCCTTCAGTAGTTATGGAGATACCAGCTTACACACAAAAACTTAACAAAGAATTTCTAAGATAAAAAAGGGGCATAATTATGCAAAAAAGCAAATCAGAGTTATGGGACTTGTGCCAATCATCTTAGATAATCACAGAGACCAAGTGTGTGAAGTTTCAATCCATTCCCTTCAGTAGTTATGGAGATACCAGCTTACACGCAAAAACTTAACCAAGAAATTTCTAAGTCAAGGGGCATAATTATGTAAAAAAAGCAAATAAGAGTTATGGGACTTGTGCCAATCATCTTAGATAATCACAGAGAACAAGTGTTTGAAGTTCAATCCATTCCTTTCAGTAGTTATGGAGATACCAGCTAACATACAAAAACTTAACCAAGAATTTCTAAGTCAAAAAAGGGGCATAATTATGTAACAAAGCAAATCAGAGTTATGGGACTTGTGCCAATCATCTAAGATAATCACAGAGAACAAGTGTGTGAAGTTTCAATCCATTCCCTTCAGTAGTTATGGAGATACCAGCTTACATACAAAACTTAACCAAGAATTTCTAAGTCAAAAAAGGGGCATAATTATGTAAAAAAGCAAATCAGAGTTATGGGACTTGTGCCAATCATCTTAGATAATCACAGAGAACAAGTGTTTGAAGTTTCAATCCATTCCCTTCAGTAGTTATGGAGATACCAGCTTACATACAAAAACTTAACCAAGAATTTCTAAGTCGAAAAAGGGGCATAATTATGTAAAAAATCAAATCAGAGTTATGGGACTTGTGCCAATCATCTTAGATAATCACAGAGAACAAGTGTGTGAAGTTTCAATCCATTCCCTTCAGTAGTTATGGAGATACCAGCTTACATACAAAAACTTAACCACAGGGACGCCGACGCCGACAAATGGGTGACTGCATTAGCTCGATTATTCTACGAATAGTCGAGCTAAAAATGAGGCTTAACAGAGTTATGGTTCTTTTGCACTGCACCTCTACTCAATGAGATCTATCTACCTACAATGTTTCATCTTGACATCTCTTATAGTTTTAGAGATATGTTCCGGACAAAGTTCTAAGTGTTAAAATTAACAAATGGCAATAACTCCAAAATTAGGACAAAAAGAGTTATTGTTCTTATGCACTGCACATCTACCCATTTAGATCTATTCACCTACAAAGTTTCATGTTGATATCTCTTATAGTTTAAGAGTTATGCCCCGGACAAGATTTTTCTATAAGGGGAGATAATTAAAAAAACCGGGCAAAATAGAGTTATGGTTCTTTGACACTGCACTCCCCCTCAATGCCCTCTACCACTGTATGAAGTTTCAACAAATTATCTCCAAGGGTTTTCAAGTTATGCTCCGGACAACACAACGGACGGACAGACGGACGGACAGACGGACAAGGCGCCGACTATATGCTCCCCCGAAATTTTTCGGGGAGCATAAAAATCCTTCCACAGAAAAACCTGTGTAATATGCGCAAGAACTTGAGCTATCAATCAGTCCTGTAAACTTTCATTGAAATTGCATCAGTGGTATAAGAGGAGTAGTCAGGACAAACTTTAAAAATTAAAATAATATAATGGCCATAATTCTTACAAGAATCATTGAACCTGAAAAAGCTGATTATATTCAAAACTAGAAATTGTACTGAACATTCCTGTTATTGTCAGTTTCATAACTGTTTAGTACATATAAAGTTAAAATGCTGTGGTAGTTGGTATTCCAGTCATATACTAGCAGACAGTTAAGAAACAGGATACCTAAACTTGTGCTTGTCTCATCATTTGGATAGCCACAATGATAAATATGTAACATAACATGTAATCAACTGTGGGAAAAATAAATCAATTTGTGTTGTTATCACATAAACCGCGGCACGGGAGGGTAATAAAGCCATTTAATAACAAGAGCTGTCAGAAGGACAGCGCGCTCGACTTTTTTAGTGCTTGCCTATAAAACAAAACTTTGACAGTTAAGGGCACACAAGACTTTAACTAGGAATTTCTAAGTACAAATCAAGAAACATTTTCACAGAGTTATCTTCTCTTGCTTACAGATAGGTCTCATGATGGCACATAAGAACTCCAACTTCCAAAGTAATATCTCAAATGGTTAAGTCAACAAGTGGACAAGAATGAAAATCTTAACTGAGTTTCTAAGTCAAAAAGGGCCATAATTAAATCCTTAACAGAATTACCTTCTCCTGCCCACGTTTTGGGACCATGATGGTAAACAAGTATTCCAACTTTCAAATTAATATCTCAAACAGTTCAGTCAAAAAGTGGACTGGTACTAAAAACTTAACCAAGATTCTAAGTCGATAAAAGGCCTTAATTTTTAAAACAAATCCTTGACAGAGTTACCTTCTCTTGCGTACAGATGGGGGTAATGATGTGAAATAGCATTAAAAGTTTCAAAGCAATATCTCAAAGGGTTAAGGCAATAAGTGGATTTTACCCATATTCAATGTATTTTCTAAGTCAAAAAGGGGCATAATTCTGTCAAAAACCTTGACAGAGTTATGTCCTCTTGTCTGTTGATGAAGGTCGTGATGGTAAAACAAGTATGGTCAGTTTCAAAGCAATACCTCCAATGGTTTTGAAATAAAGTGAGGTGGTACAAAAAACTTAACCAAGCTCAATACACTTTCTAAGTCAAAAAAGGGCCATAATTCTGTCAAAAACCTTGACAGAGTTATGTACTCTTGTCTGTAGATGGAGGTTATGATGGTGAACAAGTATGGTAAGTTTCAAAGCCATACTTGTAATACTTCTGAAATAAAGTGGGGTGGTACGAAAAACTTAACCAAGGTGTGACGCCAACGCTAACGCCGACGCCGACGCCGACGCCGGGGCGAGTAGGATAGCTCCCCTTTTCATAGAAAAGTCGAGCTAAAAACGATATTACACTAGACAATATTACACTAGTGTAATAACACTTTGACGTCACGTCATTTGCGCTATAAACATAGCGTTAAAAGCGCGCTAATGTCAGCGTTACACTATAGGCGCGTCAAGGAAAAATGACTCTTTTTAACAATTTACCGTTCTTATTTTATATATGTGATAAATAGAATATTTCATTCGTGTAGATCATGTAGATTCAATACTAAATTTATTGAACTCGTTGAATAAAACAATATTATGCTCGCCAGAGGCTCGCATAATATGATTTTGTTCAACTCGTTCAATAAATTTAGTATTAAACCTACACTCATTCAATATCCTCTATATATACAGCAACAGGTGCAGAAAATGAACAAGTTAGAAAAATTAATGGAGAGAATTCTGGAAATACTGGAGCTAGTGTTATAAATCTTTTCACAATTGTGACATAGTTGTTGATAACAAACATATTTTGAAGTCTGAATTTAATTAAAGTAAGATCATTCAAAATATTGATGCCAGAGTTTTGACAGTGTCCACAGAGAAAACCTGTTTCATATAATCATGCCAATATAAACACCAACTCAATTATTCCACAAGCAAAAACCATTACAGTTATATTTTTTCTAGTATTAACATTTCACCAAACATCATAATAATAGAATAAGCATTTTGATTGGGCCATCCTTAAAAAATTGTTTATTTGCAGTAACACTACCAACTAACAAAATTTGCCCCGAATCAAAACTTTTTTTATTGTCTGGAGAATTTTTTTTTGTCGCCAAAATTAAGCCTTGTGCTTTCTTTTCGTTCTTTTAAAGACAGGGCTCACGCTGGCAGGAGCCAATGAGGACATTGGCTGCAAAATTATTAAATTGGCTCAGGAAAATCACAATTTAGCTCAAACTTACGAAAAGTATGACTTTTGGAATCTCAAGTCTAAATTTAGCATTTGCTACTTTAAGAATGGAAAAGTACACATGTGGTTTTCCATCTTTAACTTCCGTTTTAAGTTTTACCGCTTCTTATCTCAAAACACAGCGACACAGACTACTTTTTGTGGGCCATTGACTGGTTTATATTTATTACTTCCCATCCGAATGAAATATGGATATGAACAGTAACACAGTCTATAATACACTGACCTCGCTGTATGTTTACATTTTTATCAGCTGATAAATGACACTTATTGGCGTGAAAATACCTGCATGCACTTGATAACTGGTCTTAATATTCAATATGAAACAATAACTAGCAGTATCTCAAGTTTATCGCTAATCATATCAGTTTTAAACACATTCCTAAACATCTGCTTGACTTCTAAGTTTCCTTTCATTACATGCCACCACCCCCCATTCTTTTGTTATTTTTATTTTTTTATGATTTTTTTAAAATATTTTTCTTTTTTAATCATCTAATGAAAGAGAAAGTTGGAAGCAAGCTAGAGTTCAGGTCTGATAGACACATTCAATTTGTCTATAAAGATTGTGTTTTAAACACATTCCTAAACATCTGCTTGACTTCTAAGTTTCCTTTCATTACATGCCACCACCCCCCATTCTTTTGTTATTTTTATTTTTTGATGATTTTTTAAAAAATATTTTTCTTTTTTAATCATCTAATGAAAGAGAAAGTTGGAAGCAAGCTAGAGTTCAGGTCTGATAGACACATTCAATTTGTCTATAAAGATTGTGTTTTAAACACATTCCTAAACATCTGCTTGACTTCTAAGTTTCCTTTCATTACATGCCACCACCCCCCATTCTTTTGTTATTTTTATTTTTTGATGATTTTTTTAAAATATTGTTCTTTTTTAATCATCTAATGAAAGAGAAAGTTGGAAGCAAGCTAGAGTTCAGGTCTGATAGACACATTCAATTTGTCTATAAAGTTTGTGTTTTAAACACATTCCTAAACATCTGCTTGACTTCTAAGTTTCCTTTCATTACATGCCTACACCCCCCATTCTTTTGTTATTTTTATTTTTTATGATTTTTTTTTATATATTTTTCTTTTTTAATCATCTAATGAAAGAGAAAGTTGGAAGCAAGCTAGAGTTCAGGCCTGATAGACACATTCAATTTGTCTATAAAGTTTGTGTTTTAAACACATTCCTAAACATCTGCTTGACTTCTAAGTTCTAAGTTTCCTTTCATTACATGCCACCCCCCCCCCCCATTCTTTTGTTATTTTTATTTTTTATGATTTTTTTTTATATATTTTTCTTTTTTAATCATCTAATGAAAGAGAAAGTTGGAAGCAAGCTAGAGTTCAGGCCTGATAGACACATTCAATTTGTCTATAAAGTTTGTGCTTTAAACACATTCCTAAACATCTGCTTGACTTCTAAGTTTCCTTTCATTACAAGCCACCACCCCTATTCTTTTGTTATTTTTCTTTTTTATGATTTTTTTTATATATTTTTCTTTTTTAATCATCTAATGAAAGAGAAAGTTGGAAGCAAGCTTAGAGTTCATTAATTTTCTATTTCATTTTTAACTCTTTTTTTCATTATTTATTTATTTTTTATTTTTTATCATCTTATTAAAGAGAAAGTTGGTATTTATTTTATGTTTTATTATTTTTTTATATTTTTCTATTTTATTCCTCATTATTATTGTAGTGGTGAAGTGTGTGTGTGTGTGTGTGTGTGTGTGCAAGAAATAAAATTGACCTTAACCCATTACTTCATGAGCATTTTGTGAAAAATGGCTGTTTTCATTGAAAAGTCTCCCGTTACAAGTTCAAATTGCTATAATACTATAAAAACTGCTTCAACACTAATCAAACTTGGCACAAATGTTGACTGGACCATTGCCCTTGCAACAACATGCTCAGGCTTAAATTTTCTGTTACCATGGCAACGAGGGGACATCTCAAAATTGCCAAAAATCACTATTTTGCGTTGATTTTTTCCATTATAATTGATTTCAAAGTGATGCAACTTCTCAATGGATTGAGATAGAGTCAAATGCTTTTCAGCGTTGGTTACACGTTACCTTATGATCAATCTGGGGTCATTTATAGCCTCTCACAAGTCCAAAATTTTCTTGGCAATGAGGGGGACTCTGCCCCCCTTCAATCCCCCTTCTGGCAACCCCCTGGTGTATCTTTTGGTTGGGGGGCCGCGCCGAAAAAGTGGTCACTTTTTTTAACAACATTTCTCAAACAAAAACAAGTGTTAAGGGCCTAAATAATGCATTTTTTCACCATTTGAGACAACAAAAAGGGGGGGGGGTGAAAAAGGCGTTAAAAGGCGTGTATATGAAGTAATGGGTTAATAACCAAATTTTAGTTTTGTTTAAAGCTCTCACAGAAGCAAATGTCATATGACTGTGAAAATATTAAAGAACAATTTATCCAAGAGCAATTAAAAAAATGCCTTTAGGTAACTTATACCGATTACTGTACAGTGAAATGAATTGTATGTGATTTTTTCCTGAATTATCTTAGTTTAGAATTCTTCAATATTCTTCTTCATTCTTCTTACTTTCAAACATGTTTGTGTTTTATAATTTCAGATGCAGATAGTCTTCAAGCAAAATCTTTGGCATTAACAAAGCAAGCTGAAGCAACACCATGGAGTGTGTTTCTGCTGTACCTGTCATGCCACTGACTTAGATTTTGTGGGAACCTTGCTGTCCAACTTTACCTGGCAAATGTTATAGTTACTGAGCTGAAAGCTTTTTTTATAATTACTGACTGTTAATTATATGAGTTAAATGTGTGAATGTTATAGAAATGTAACTACCAAAATAAAGTTGGATGTAGTTTGTTTTACTAAATATCTTATGCCATACCAAAGTCTTATTTGAAAGTCCTTTTTGCTTTTAAATCCGAGATGGCGTCACCCATCTAAAGGAAAGGTTCATGTAGAAAAAATTAAATGTAGTTCTTATTAAATTAGCATTCAGTTATCAATTTATAAATAGTTACCCGATTATCAAGGCATATAATATTGTCAAGTATTTTGAAATTCCATGTCTAGTTGCGAGTACAGTTCAATAAATTTTTTTTTAAAAATCGACCTACCTACCCCACCTTGAAAATTCTGGGTTGGGTTACTATGGAGCAGAATTTGGGTATTTATTCATTTGACTACTTGTTGTTTTCATTTGCTTAAGTTCAAATCATATTCCTACAAATTTGATTCATCTGTGAGTGAAATCAAAGTTCTTTACTTAAATATTTATTTATTCATTCTTACTATGTTTATAGTAAGTTGTAATATTCTAAAGCCAATGCCAGTACAGTTCATCTTAATTCCTTTAATTTAATATTAGATACCAACAAATTACTTTTTGTTTCAAACAATTGTGCTATCTCTACTTAGTTAAAAGAAAGAGTGTTTTCTCGAACTTGTTTCTTACAAATATATTTGTGCAACTCTTATTCTCATTCGATTCACACTGAAAATAAATTTGTATGTAGAGGCTATAAGAATTGTTGTTATAGAGATTTATCCATATTCTAACTTTATGAAATTATTAACATTAAATAACCTTAAGCTAAATAAAACTGACTCATTTCAATTAGAAAAACAGCAGAACAAATAAAAACTAGAAACCATGTGATAAATATTTGCTTTTTGTGTCCTAGCTGGGTACCTGAGACATAAAATTCTAGCGCAAAATCTTAGTGAAGGGAGATAACTCATGCGGGGCAGGGGGTTGTGGGCGCACCGAAAAGTGGTCACTTTTTTTATCAACATTTCTCAAATGAAAACAGTGTTGGGGTCTAAATAGGGCATTTTTTTCACTGTTTGAGGCCTCAAAAAGGGGGGGGGGGGAGGCAAGAAGCCATCAATACACCTCTACATAAGGGAAAAGGTTAAATGACTGGTTATCTTTAAAGTGCATTTTCAGAGAATATTTCAACGGTTACACCATTAGAAATTACGAACTTGTACGCAAATATTGGTTCCCAGCCAGATGTATAAATTCAAATTTCAAAAGTAATTTCGTATTCGTGTTCTTGCAGTTCGTATGCGTCTACGTGCATTCATATGGATTTTATTTCAGTGTTATGTAATCAACTTTGTATTCTTAAAAGAAAGGACATAGTTTTTTACAAGATCATAATTTAAAACTAAATTATTCAAATTGAAAAGGAAGATAAGAATTTAATGAATATGAATATGAAGTAGATAAATAGAAATTGAAAGAAAAACAGGGATTAAATTCCCAAATTCTGCTCCATAGGTTACTGCAAACAAACACTTTTTTAAGGATAGCCTTGGTTTTAATCACCTAATGAAATCATGAGCTGTCCTCACACACTCTATTCCACTTAATAATCGGCAAAAAATCCCAAAGCTGATAAATGTTAATTGTTTGGCTGTGGGTATCTGACAATGTACATACCTGTTCTCCATAAGGAACTGTCAATGCATGAACCACTCCAACCACTGGTGGAGAAGAAATGACCATTGGCATATCGTCTTTAATCATAAACATGTCATAAAGAACCTGCAGCCCAAAATCCATAACCACCCAAACCCAAACCCTTAACCTAAAAATCCCTGTTGAGCTTACAAAACAAAACACATTCCTGTCATAAAAGAATAACAATATAGAATTTACAATAAAAATAAGTATTTAAGTATAAACAGTATAAAATTCTTGCATAAAAGCTGACCACTGATACATGTGATATTTACATTAACAATGAAACAAGAGAGACATGATGGCCCTGAAGTCGCTCACCTGTATATAGGGCCAGTTTGAACCCCAGCCTGGCACCGTGTTCACAAAGAAAAGATCAGGATCAGGATCAAGTAATCCTGATTCTATTTTCATTGTTTTATTATGTTACTAAAATTTATTGTGTTTTGCTAGAATTAAAAAGTAGATATTCAAAATGTAAAACTTTGCTAATTTGAAAAGAAATCAAACTATTTTGGGATAAAATTAACAAATAACAAAACAAATACAAAAATACTCGGATCAAAATAAGGATCAGTTTTAGGATCAGGATCAATATTTGGATCAACTATAAAATTCCTCTATCTTGTAAAAATTACAATAAATTTATTCTAAAATTTCATTGATTTGCTATTTCAAGTCCAATTTTATCAAATTATCATTAGATATTTAATCTATGAGGATAAAAAAAGAAAAATATTAGAGTTTTTCAATTTGATCCAGATCTTGATCCTGATCCTTAAATCTTTGTGAACACGGGACCAGGGCTTTTATTTGAAACTAGAACTCCGGGAGTCGGATGTGTCACCTTGTGTAGTTTAGGAGAAATGGCATGGACAAAAATGAAATATGAAAAATAACAAAGGGCAATAACTAAAAAAATAATAAGTGCAGAGCAGCAGTTTCTGTGCACTGCACTTCTTATCAATAAGATCTATCATTCTATGATGTTTCAAGTCCATAGCTTTCATACTTGAGGAGAAATGACCAGGACAAAAATAAAGTAAGAAAATCAACAAAGGGCAATAACTCAAAAATAAGAAATGCAGAATATCAGTTCTTATGCACTGCACTTTTTCTTAATGAGATCTATCATCCTATGAAGTTTCAAGTCCATAACTTTTATACTTTCGGAGAAATGGCCTGGACAAAAATTAAGTATGAAAATTAACAAAGGGCCATAACTCAAAATTAAGAAATGCAGAGTACCGATTCTAATGTGCACTGCACTTCTTCTTAATGAGATCTATCATCCCATGAAGTTTCAAGGCCATAGCTTTTATACTTAAGGAGAAATGGCCCGGACAAAATTAAAGTATGAAAATAAACAAAGGGCAATAACTCAAAAAATAAGAAATGCAGTGTACCAGTTCTTGTGCACTGCACTTCTTCTTAATGAGACCTATCATCCTATGAAGTTTCAAGTCCATGGCTTTTATACATTAGGAGAAATGGCCCGGACAAAAATAAAGTATGAAAATTAACAAAGGGCAATAACTCAAAAAGTAGGAAGTGCAGAGAACTGGTTCTTGTGCACTGCACTTCTTCTTAATGAGGTCTATCATCCTATGAAGTTTCAAGTCCATAGCGTTTTTAGTTGAAGAGAAATGGCCCGGACAAAATTAAAGTATGAAAATTAACAAAGGGCAATAACTCAAAAAATAAGAACTGCAGAGTACCGGTCCTTGTGCACTGCACTTTGGGTTATTGAAAGAAGCATGCATACCAAGTTTGAAGTCAATCAGACTTATAGTGACTGAGTTATGCTCCAGACAAGCTTTAGGTGACGCCGACACCGACAATGACGCCGACATAGACGCAGCCGCCAACGCTGGCGACAAAAGTAACCCCTATATGTCACCTTTTCAAGGCGACACAAAAACTTGGTAGACACCCATTTGAAAATGTTTCATGCTAAACATCTAAGGTCTAGTTCGTTGAGTTTTTTAAAAGAAGATTTTTTAAGTTTTTAATATACACATATAATTAAAAGCAATGACACCCCTGGGGCGGGGCCAATTCTGACCCCAGGGCTTTTATTTGAACAAACTTTGTAGACACCCATTAGAAGATGTTTCATGCTAATCATCTAAAGTCTAGCTCTTTGAGTTTTTTAAAGATGATTTTTTAATTTTTTACTTTACACAAATAGTTAAAAGCAATGACACCCCTGGGGCGGGGCCAGTTTTGACCCCAGGGCTTTTATTTGAACAAACTTTGTAGACACTCACTAGAAGATGTTTCATGCTTAATATTTAAACTCTAGCTATTTGGGTTTTTTCAAAGATGAATTTTAAGTTTTTACTATACACATACAAGGAAAATCAATGTCCCCCGGGCAAGGGCCAATTTGACCCCAAGGCTTTTATTTGAACATACTTTGTGGACACTCACTAGAAAATGTTTCATGCTTAATATCTAAACTCTAGCTATTTGGGTATTTTTAAAGAAGAATTTTTAAGTTTTTGCTATACACATAAATAAAATCAATGACCCCCGGGGCGGGGCCAATTTTGACCCCAGGGCTTTTATTTGAACAAGTTTGTAGACACTAACTAGAAGATGTTTCATGCTCAGTATCTAACTCTAGCTATTTGGGGTTTTTTCAAAGAAGATTTTTTTTAGTTTTTGCTATACACATATAAGGAAAATCAATGACCCCGGGGCTGGACCAATTTTGACCCCAGGGCTCTTATTTGAACAAATTTGGTAAACACCCATTAGAACATGTTTCATGCTAAATATCTTAGCTCCAGCTCTTTGGGTTCTTTAACCCTTTCCCCCATGAGCATATTGTGAAAAATGGCCATTTTCACTGAAAAGCCTTCTCTCACAAGTTCAAACTGCTATGAAACTATGAAAAATGCTTCAATACTACTCAAACTTGGCACAAATGTTGACTGGACCATTGCCTTTGTAACGACATGCTCAGTCTTAAATTTCCTGTTACCATGGCAACGAGGGGACATCTCAAAATTGCCAAAAATCACTTTTTTGCCTCGATTTTTTTCATCAAAATTTATTTCAAAGTGCTGCAACTTCTCAAGGGATTGAGATAGAGTCAAAGGCTTTTCAGCGTTGGTTACACGTTATCTTATGATCGACCTGGGGTCATTCAAAGCCTCTCACAAGTCCAAAATTTTCTTGGCGATGAGGGGGACTCCGCCCCCCTTCAAACCCCAAAAACAGAAGGGGGCACATCCCCCTTCTGGCAACCCCCTGATGTAATATTTGGATGGGGGACGGCGCCGAAAAAATTTTTGAACAACATTTTTAAACGAAAAACAGTGTTTGGTGCCTAAAAAGAATATTTTTTCACTGTTTCAGGCCTCAAAAAAGGGTGGAGGG